TTTTTTATATATTTTAAGTTGTGAAAAGAAAACAAACATTCATATATGTAACAGAAAAATTAGAAAATTAGATTGTTCAGAAATTTATTCATAATATTAAATTCAATTATGTATAGTTAGCATCACATTTGAAATAAAATCATCTAATATTTTTTTTAACATCTCGTTTGTGTTTAATTTCTGCAATTGTAATATTATAGGTTGAATACTTCAGCCATGTCATAATGGAATCAGGACTAGAGCATTTGAAAAGAGCAGCAGAGAAAGGACACGTGGAGGCCTCATACGTGTATGGTATGATCCTCCACTCTAGGGGTGGGCAATCAACAAAACAAGGCCTAAAGCTTCTAAATGCAATGAACAATACTTGTTCAAATTCAAAGAGCTTGAGAATCCAAGAGTGCAGAGAAAGAATCAAAGCCATTATTCACACAATGTGGATCAACAATCATATGGTTAGCCAACAAACAAATTTCTGTTGTCATGGAAAAACTCAAAGCATCACAGTGAGGGAGACATGGAGAGGCCGCGTAGAAGAGGATGACAACATGAGCGGTGAAGCTTGTGAATGGGATAGAGAAGTCAACTTGCTTTGTAACATGTTAATGGGTAGGAGTGTTTAGATTATTTATTGAAGTTGTGCTATATAAATACAGAAATCAAATATAGGTCTCTTTTGGTAACTAGGTTAAATGTCAGTTTATTGATTTTTTAACTTTATTCTAAAGCCTATTTTGGACAGTAACCCTATCCAAAATAGGCCTTGGAATAAAAATAGTTGGACATAGGACAACACATAGACAAAAATCAACACTGACAGAAGTGGGAGAAACATGGAGGAGAGGCCACGAAGAAGAGGATGACAACATAAGTTGTCAAGGTTGTAAATGAAATGAAGAAGTCAAACTTGCTTTGCAATGTTACTTCCTAAGATTGTTTAGATCATTTTATTTATTAATTAATTATGATTATGGTATGTTCAACTCTATGACTTTAATGGGACACCATATATATATATATATATATATTAATTACCATGAGATTTGTCATGAAAGATTGCTAAATTTATATTCCTCAGATATTCATAGACCTATATGTTAACTTATTGATTGAACTCAGTGAGTTGAAACGATCATTTTTTTATCCAAAATTCGAATGGCTGTTATTAATTTTCTTTAACTGACAATGACTTAAAAAAAAAAAAAAAATTGATGATGAAATTGAAATTTCACACATTTCCTTTCATAAGCATAACCGATAGTATTAATAAAAAAAATGGAAGAAATATATATATATATATATATTTTGAACTCCAAAAAAAAGACTCGTGGAATATCATAATATTCATGGATTCTGGTTCTGGATTAACTAAACACTCCAACCCATTAACATGTTACAGAACAAGTTGACTTCTCTATCCCATTTACAAGCTCCACAACTCATGTTGTCATCTTCTTCTTCGCGGCCTCTCCATGTCTCCCTCACTCTGATGCTTCAAGTTTTTCCATGACAACAGAAATTTGTTTGTTGGCTAACCATATGATTGTTGATCCATTTGTGTGAATAATGGCTTTGATTCTTTCTCTGCACTCTTGGATTCTCAAGCTCTTTGAATTTGAACAAGTATTGTTCATTGCATTTAGAAGCTTTAGGCCTTGTTTTGTTGATTGCCTACCCCTAGAGTGGAGGATCATACCATACACGTATGAGGCCTCCACGTGTCCTTTCTCTGCTGCTCTATCCCATTCACAAGCTTCACCGCTCATGTTGTCATCCTCTTCTTCGCGGCCTCTCAATGTCTCCCTCACTGTGATGCTTTGAGTTTTTCCATGACAACAGAAATTTGTTTGTTGGCTAACCATATGATTGTTGATCCACATTGTGTGAATAGTGGCTTGGATTCTTTCTCTGCACTCTTCGATTCTCAAGCTCTTTGAATTTGAACAAGTATTATTCATTGCATTTAGAAGCTTTAGGCCTAGTTTTGTTGATTGCCCACCCCTAGAGTGGAGGATCATACCATACACGTATGAGGCCTCCACGTGTCCTTTCTCTGCTGCTCTCTTCAAATGCTCTAGTCCTGATTCCATTCTCATGTGGCTGAAGTATTCAACCTATAATATTACAATTGTAGAAATTAAACACAAACGAGATGTTAAAAAAAATATTAGATGATTTTATTTCAAATGTGATGCTAACTATACATAATTGAATTTAATATTATGAATAAATTTCTGAACAATCTAATTTTCTAATTTTTCTGTTACATATATGAATGTTTGTTTTCTTTTCACAACTTAAAATATATAAAACATTGGTGATTTTTAAGTTGAACAGTCAATTCAAAATAGACTGACGTATAACTACTTTCTATTATATAGAGATAGAGTCTAATATATTATTTGAATCATTTTTCATTATAAAAAATTATTCTAGATACTCATAATTTAATCATAACAAACTGCCAATAATATACATGATAGCTTGACAGGACCCATAAGGCCCTAAGAAATATTTTCATTTCTTAGTATCTCACATTTTTTTTTTCAGTAGTGTACTCTTCGATATGGTCGATGTCTCAATTAGAGAGCATCACTTATGGGAGCTATAGAAACTTGCCTCTCACATGGTCCAGTCTATTTCAACATATATCCAAACCTTAGTATAGCACTTACAGATGCTAATCTGTCCAAAGTCTTAGAACTTAGAGTGTTGTCCAATGGTTATGAATATCTTCTAGGATCTCTACCCTTTGCGGTAATTTCCAGAATTTATCTTAAAGTTTTTACAACTTTAAATCCTTATATCAGAAAACAGAGTGAGTTAGGACATACAGTCCTGACAGACACCAACCTTTTCAGTAGCCAAGTTGCAGTGCCAAAATTGATACCGTGTCAAGAAATAAAATTTCCAGATAGATGGTAGATAAACCAAGCTGTTCCACCTCGGCCAATTGTCCAACAAACATTGGATGAAGTAATCCAGACACATGGATGAAATGTTTACCTTACCTTTAAAAGGCCACAAAGGTCTTTATCCAGAAGTATGTCTAGTACCAGTTATAGAACTGCTCCATCTTATAGTGTAGATTTACCTGAGTCTTCCAGACAATCGTTATCTGAATCAACTGAGTCGGTCTTACAAGGAATGTCCTCAAGACCAACCTCCAGACCTCCAAGTGATACACAACAACCTGAACCTACAGTTGATCCCATAGCTCAGGGAGTTTAATTTTCAGAGAATCGAATACCACATGGTATTTATGAATCCAGAAGGCCTTATAGCCCTACAGCCAACGATATGAATTTTGAAATCAAATGGATTTTACACCAGGACGTAAAATTTGAAAGCCTTAAATGAGGATCTACAGAAAGAAAAATACAGAACATTTAGAGAATGGTATTTTAGTTACCATACCCCTCTCTAGTCAGAACAATATAAAAACCAGTATTATGTTCATTTAGAACAACATCAAAAATTACTGTCTTTTCCTTAGTGGTATGTTGAAAATATCACTCCTACATAATCTCAGATTAATGTCATTGAGAATATGCAGAAAACTTGGGTCACCACCGATGGTCAAAGTTTTATTTCTGTCCATCCACCGACCCAACCTTTAGCCATTGCTGCTTATATGGAAATTCCACACAAATCACAAAATATGGATCTTATTCTCATTCAGAATATGTTACCTATATTCAAACAGCATAATTATACAAATCTGTTTTTCCAAACAACTGGCAAACAGCTCCCCAGAATTGAAGAAACTATTTATCATATTAAAAACTGTTTTCACTTACAGCCAAAATCTGAAGTTCAAACTGAAGTTATTCCAGTAACAAATAAACCTCCTTTAGAAGTAACTAAATTTAAGTTATCTTCTACTAAGAAAGACACAGAATTCATGGATACTCTTGTTGATAAGATTAAAAGTCTTAAAATTGGAGAATCTTCTTCTATTAATATGTTATCCAGACAACATAATCCAAATGATGAAAATTTAACACTTTCTCAAATTACAGAAATTGAAAATAATTTTCAAGAAAATCCAACCTTCATAAACATAGTTCATTATGGAGAAACATCCAGAAATTCTACTAGGATTGCTCCAACGAGATATTATTACCCTTGAAGCACTCCTATGGATCTTCTTTATGAAGAAGATTTTTTACAATCACAGAAATCCTATCATGGAAAAACCATTTATGAATGGAATATAGATGGTTTTTCTGATACCATATATTTGAATTGTTGCATCAAACGATTATGTATTCAACAATTTGCAAACAAAATGAAAATGATGATCATGAAATCGCCAGATTTCTGGTCAATGGTTTTACCAGCATCCTGAAAGGATGGCGGGATAACATTATTACAGAAACACAAAAAACATAAATCTTAATAGCCTTTAAAAGAATTACAGATCCTTTAATAAGTAATGTTCAATCTGAACATGACGCTGTTCATAGTTTTATCAATACAATTCTACGCTATTTTGTAGGAGCTTCTCCTGATGGTTTAGAAGATAGGAGTAGAGAACTTTTACAGAATTTAAGATGTCCTTCTTTATCCCATTTTGGATGGTATAAAGATGTATCCATGATGAGAGTTGTCAGAAGATCTGACGCTAACAATGAACATTGGAAAGCCAAATTCATTGATGGCCTTCCCACACTCTTTGCTAAAGAATCAGAAAAAAATTGAGGGATAAGCATAGTAAAATGTCTATTCCATATTCAGAATATACTTATGGTCAACTCACAAGAATTGTTACCGAAGAAGGTCTTGCTCTTTGCAATGATTTGAAATTACATAATCAAATGAAAAAGCAAAGTCATAATGAATTAGGTGAATTTTGTGAATAATTTTCCTATGAAACTAAAATCCAGTATCCATCCAAACATAAACACAAAAAACATAAACTGGGAAAATCATCAAAAAATTATTCCAAGAAATCTAGAAAAAAAATATCATAAACAGACTATTCTGCAACCCCAACCTTCTAGAACTAAAGGCGAACAAAAAAAATCTTATCCACAAAAAGATAAATCTACAGTTAAATTTTATAAGTGTGGCCAAACAGGTCATTATGCTAATCGTTGCAAAGCTAAGATTCAACAAAAATTAAATGAATTAGCTTTAGACGATGAAATTCAGCAACAAATTCTTCAGATGCTTTCTGAAGACTCTGATTCAGACTCTACTTCAGATAATGGTATTGCAATACTATATTCATCATCTTATGATACTGATCCTAAATCCCCTCCGAAAATTTGTTCATGTAAACCTCAAATTAATCAAATAACAGAAGAAGCCAATTATTGGAAAGCAATAGTTGACATGAATGGACTTGATATTAGTAGTCCTAGTATCAATGTTCTTACAGATGATGAACAGGAAATGTTGAATATTGCTGATCAAATCACAGATCCAGAAATGAAATTAAAATTTCTTGAACTATGCTACCAATAGCACAAAAAAGAAGAAATTTTACCTCCAAAGCATTACAGTATGAAAGAAGTTCATAAAAGAATTCAAAATACTTCTGAAGAAAAACCCATAACAATCCAGGATCTTAAAATGGAAGTAAACGCATTAAAAGTTGAAATAAAGCATTTACAAA